GAGGATGGTGATGATAATGACAAGACATGGTGATGAGGAGGATGGTGATGATAATGACAAGACATGGTGATGAGGAGGATGGTGATGATAATGACGACATGGTGATGAGTAGGATGGCAATGATAATCGCAAGGTTGTAAGGCTGTAAGGCTGTATGGTTGTAAGGCTGTAAGGCTGTAAGGTTGTAAGGCTGTGAGGTTGTAAGGGTGTACGCACAAGGACTCCCATGCATGTCAAAACGATTCTGATCGATAAATAGTTCTAGTACAGATTTTTGCAAGTGTGTCATGACATGTGGGTTGTTATTGTCACACACCCTCATACAAGAATGACCATAAGACCTTGCAGAGAAACCTTACACCTCAATGCAGACCCTAAACCGGGACACATTTGAAATTCACTCGCTCGAAGACACTCCTTCGTTTGATTCTTCACAACTCGTGAATAAAAACCGCACACGCTCACTAACCATGAAGTAATCTCTATATATCACAAAATAATGACATCACTCCAGGATCCTTGTAAAGAGTCAAATCATCAAAAAGAGAATATCTCTCTGGGGCGGGTGGTACGACGTATCGAAGCCTGGATAGCGCTATCCAGCAGATAAATGCTTATCCAGTGGATAAGTCGATGCGGCTATCCAATAAATTTATCCACTAGATAAGATTTATCCGTCGGATAGTGCTATTCAAGCTTCGTACAACCGGGCCCTGAAAACTAAGCTCTAAATCCCACCCACCCCAATTACATCACACCTGCACAAACACATAGCATGTTCATCCCACCCCCATACTCAATAAACTATACTTGTATACCTTAGCTTTTCTGACCGTTGGACATTCTGCTTTATAGTTCCATCGAGCTGCTCTAAAAATTGTGACACCGAGTCTTCAGTATTTTCTGTTTGCATGACGTTACTGGTTGTAGTTCCGGGTTGACTGTCCTTAACATCACTGTTTTCTGATACAAGATCATGCTTCTCTTGCTCAACATCCACATCCAATTCATCAAAACCCACAAATGTAGAATTCACTTTCACAGGTATTTTTATAATCTTGTAAAAATGTATATTGTCATTTGTCCACAATTTGTTGACTCGCCTTATTTCTTCACCCTGTTTGTAATAAAGGAATATATAGAGAGAGGTAAATAAAGAAGTTACCTTTTAAGATACTTCTTCAATAGTGTATAGATAAAGTTTGGTTAACTAGCAGTTGATTTACATACCGGTACACCGTATCTTATTGATAATCCTTGTAATGTGTCCAAACTCTGAACGACATGACCAATCATTTTTATATCGACTTCACTTCGAACTGGTTTGGTTGTTGAGCCATAACTCTTAGGTGGCTCAAAGCTACCAGACAGTGAGCTTTTCTCAGATCTTATAAGTTTTCTATTGCTAGCTAGAAGATGGCTGGCTTGGCTTGTACCAGAAGAGCCGCCTTCGGAACTCGACATGTTTTTCCTTCACCCGTGCGCCATCTTGGATCTCCCCAACCAGGCACAGGGATCCCAACAACCTTATCTTTGCGTACGACAAAAATACCAAAAAAAGAACAAGAATTTTTTTTCACTTTTGAATTGTATATGCCTTTTTATTTTCATTTGCGTGAATCAATAGCGTGCATTTTTTTAAATCAGGTTGTGTAGCTTTTATTTCTTGTTGTTCGCAAACCTCGTCCCCAGGGTCTTCTCGGCCGCCTTCAAATGAATCAAAGATGGCGGACGTTCAGTTAGAAAATCATTACAAATGATTATTGGCAATAGCTGACTATATGGGGGCTACACCACCCTCACTTAGTGATCTACAACACAACCGCGTCCTCCAAAGGTTGACAGGGGGAAATTTTGTGCAAGAAGACAAGGACTTTTGGGGAGAATTGCTGTCCTTTTTTCATCCTCCTTTAATATGATACAGTATATATTAGGTAAGCTTATAGGTAAGCTTATATTCACTTGTTGAAATAATTACGCCTCAGAAACTATTAATCGCCTCTTGATGTAACAATATCGTGCTGAATTCTGCGTGTATTTTATAAGTGTTTATGGTAAAAATTAGTCTTATTCCTGATATTTGGTTTTTCTGTTTGTCCTTGGATTTCCAATGTATTGTTGCTATGACCCCTAACTCAATATTTTCAGTATTGATTTTTATTGAAAAGTGAATAGTTGAATGGAAAATTATTTTTTTAAGAGTCCCTTAAAAATCAACAGAACATATCTGCTAATAATCACAGGAAAAAATTTCTCAAAAACATAATGGTTTTTAGAATGGTAAATATAGTAATTATACTATTCAAAAAACATGAATAGAAAAACAGAACACTTCCCATTCATGGATTTTATAATAAAAAACATCAATGGTTAGTAAGCTGAAAACATGATGTGTTTGACCTATGATGCATGCATGGTTCTCCAACTTCTCATAATGGTTTTTCCATGAAAGTACATAAATGGTTTTTGGATTGGTACTTTGTATAATTCCCACTATAATAACCATTGATGGAAAAGAACAAGCATGCCACTGATGGTTTTTGGGATAAAAAACAACAATGGCTAGTAAGCTGAAACCATAATACGTTCCACCCATAAAACATGCAGGATAAATCTCCAATTATTAACAACTCAAGTTTGCAAGTTATAGTTGATGATATATATAGAGGATATTACATGGGCGAGCAGAGATACGAATTTTATCTTCGAGTGTTCAATCAATATCTCACGAGTGAGCACAGCTCACCCGTGAGATATCTAAATTGAACACGAGAAAATAAAATTTGTATCTCCAAGCGACCATGTAATGTTCTGTTCATTATATAGATATCGATGAAACTTAAATAAAACAAAAGCTCAAAAATTCTTTATTAGAATAGCAACCCGATTCAACAGCGGTATCTTCACGTGTGAAATATAATATTATGGTATCTTCCACTGGTGAAAAATATCAAGTTTTCGACACTAGAGAAAACCTGGTATTTCATCGATATCTATATAATAAATATAATTATCCAAAATTATATGTCTATAAAATGGGTATGAATATCTACAATGCTAAAAAATATCAATTTAGAATGTTTATGTATTAAAAATTAGGTAAGGGCATCAAATTGATTCATTTTCATCTGAATTTCTTGTTTCAAATGTTGCCAATATCAGTGGTTGATTTATACGTTACAGTATAATGGATAATGCACAAGTTGATACTAGAAACCCTCAATTATTCTTGTATTTGATACTGTGAAACAACCTCTGTGCTGATCTATTAGTCATAAAGGGCACAGCTTCTGAGCTCACAGATTGATTGGCATGGCTAACTCAAATTAAAATTGGACATTCCATTAATTTGGTTTTGCTGAAAGAGTGAAAATTGAGAAAACCCCCGGGGGGGGGGGGGGTTGGTACTCTCATATATGGACTATACAGGGACTAACACATAATATACGACGGACGGATGCATGAGGTCTACTGAGATTACTCTCGGCTAAATTTTGATCATGCTCTAATCTATAGCTATGGCCAGCAGGAAGTTTTATCTTTGGACTAACAAATATGAAGCAGGTCTATTAGAAAGCTATGACGATTTCCTGAAGCTTGATCGGCCTGGCAAACACTGCTTGAAAAAGTTCAATGATGAAGATGAAGCTAAAGAAGCTTTAGAGAAGCAATTGCAAGAACTGGCTGCGAAGAACCAGGAAAATAGAAGTTCGCAAATAATACAAGAAGAGCATGATAATGTTCAAGAATCGCAAAACCCCGTAGACGATTTGACGATGACAGAAATTGCAGGGGAGAAGGAAGAAATTGTCAAGGGCCATGATGACCGTTATGAAAAGCTCGAAGCAGAGATGAATGCTCAAAAGGAGATCAATGGGAAGTTCGAAAAAGAAATAACAAAAAACACCATAGAG